CAAGGTAAAACCGTAAAGGAATGGAACCATATTTTGCAACGTAATAAGGCCTAATACTGTATTACACTCTAGTCAACACATATTTATTGTTCGGTTTCTTTATAGATCTACATTGACTTGATTAGACAAACAATAATGTATAGTAATTAAAAATAAAAATTTAAATACTCCTANATATGAATAAATTTTGGTAGCAAAATAATGTTCAACTTTTCAATCAATTCTAATAAATTCTTCACCGTTTTGATTCTTAAAAGTTTAGGTTTCTATTTGGGGAGAGTAAATCCAAATCAGGCTGAAAACAAAACAAACGCAAATCCAAATTTATTTTTTTGAAAATTAAACATGTTTAAATTCGAATAAAACTTTATGAAACTCACTTTAATCCTATGTAACAATTTGATACAAGATAATTTTAAACGGTATTAAAATCCGAATAGTAAAACATGTTATTATTCGCCGTTGAATAGTAGGTATAATAACTCATTTGATTTTATAGTAATTTAATATTTATGATTATTGATCATTTATGAAAATAATATTTTATAGTAACTCATTTTATTTTATAGTAATTTAATCTTTAGTTTTTGACATTTTTGAAAATAGATAACTCAAAATGACATTTTGTGTAAAATTATAATGTTTAAAAGTGATATTTTTGAAATTAATTCATGCTTATTAGTTATTATTACTACAAATCCGGATTTTACGGGACAGAGAATAGAAATACCCTTTACAACCAGACAGCTTTCCGATTGGACATATTGAACGAGTCTCCATGGAACACGTGTCAACTCTAGCACGTGCCTCACGTGCCAGATCTGTATAAATGAAAGGGACGTGTTACATCTAAAGTTTCAAAACTCAAAAAATAAAAAACACATCTCACCTCCACCAAAAACTCCACACCGACGCGACGCGACCCGATCCGATCTCATCTCCCTGAAACAATGGTTGAGCCGGCGAATACCGTCGGAATCGCGGTGAATCCGACGCCGTTGTTGACAGATGAGCTCGACATCGTAATCCCGACTATCCGAAACCTCGATTTCCTCGAAATGTGGAGGCCATTTCTTCAGCCGTACCATCTGATCATTGTCCAGGACGGAGATCCGTCGAAGAAGATTCATGTTCCTGAAGGTTACGACTACGAGCTCTACAACAGGAACGACATTAACCGAATCCTCGGACCCAAAGCTTCTTGCATCTCCTTCAAGGATTCCGCTTGTCGCTGCTTTGGGTACATGGTGTCTAAGAAGAAGTATATCTTCACCATTGATGACGATTGCTTCGTAAGCTTCTCGAATTATTCTGACCTTTGTTTTTTCGTTTGTCTGGATTGATCTGCGATTTGGGATTTCGAGTTTTGTTTCTAGTTCTGATTGATTGTTTAAGCTCATTAATTGATGCGAGATCAAGTAATTGATTCACTACAATTGACGGATCTTAGGCTTGTGTTCGATTAGCTAGGTCAATTAGGCAATTCAATGTTTTGTATATCAGATCCATAGATCTGATCTGTCTTCACTTGAGTGTAACCAACATTGTTGTCGGGCAGATCTATCTGTTTCATTATAGCTACCTTTACGATATGATTGCGACATGTCATTGTTCTGCATTTTTTAATCTTGTTTTGTTTACCTTTTGGGATTTGTGGGGCATATCCAAGGATGAGCCTCAATTACGCTCTGTTTAGTTGATATGTTGCTGAGTTTTTTTTTTTTAATATTTTCTTTGAGGTCTTGTGGAAAGTTAATGGCTTGATTGATCTGGATTTTAGCCACTTCTCTCATTCATAATCTTTCTTTGATGTGTGTATCTGTTATATAGGTTGCTAAGGATCCATCTGGGAAAGCAGTAAACGCACTTGAGCAACACATCAAGAATCTTCTCTGCCCATCATCTCCGTTTTTCTTCAACACCTTGTATGATCCATACCGTGAAGGTGCTGATTTCGTCCGTGGTTACCCTTTCAGTCTTCGTGAAGGTGTTTCCACTGCTGTTTCCCATGGTCTCTGGCTCAACATCCCTGATTACGATGCCCCGACCCAGCTCGTGAAGCCTAAGGAGAGGAACACCAGGTGATAATTGTTACCAGTTCTATGTGCGTTTTGTCAGAAAATTCAAAAGTCAAGTCTTTGCTAAACATGTGTATTGTCAGGTATGTGGATGCTGTCATGACCATCCCAAAGGGAACACTTTTCCCAATGTGCGGTATGAACTTGGCTTTCGACCGTGATTTGATCGGCCCAGCTATGTACTTTGGTCTCATGGGTGATGGTCAGCCTATTGGTCGCTACGACGATATGTGGGCTGGTTGGTGCATCAAGGTAACAACCTTCTTCTTATTCCCTTCTAATATACTCATGATTGGGTGGGAGCAATACAGATATGAACAACATTCTTTTGTTTATAGGTGATCTGTGACCACTTGGGTTTGGGAGTGAAGACGGGTTTGCCGTACATTTACCACAGCAAAGCGAGCAACCCGTTTGTGAACCTGAAGAAGGAATACAAGGGAATCTTCTGGCAGGAGGAGATCATTCCTTTCTTCCAGAACGCAAAGCTATCGAAAGAAGCAACAACTGTTCAACAATGCTACATTGAGCTCTCGAAGATGGTGAAGGAGAAGCTGAGCTCCTTAGACCCATACTTTGACAAGCTTGCAGACGCCATGGTCACATGGATTGAAGCTTGGGATGAGCTTAACCCACCAGCTGCAGCTGCAGCCAATGGCAAAGCTTGAGCAGTGACTCGACCACAGTTTTGGGTATTTTAGCTCAAATTATCTTTTACTTTGGTTTTTATAAAGCTTTCGTGTTTCTACTCTTTTGACTAGTTGTCATCATCATCATCAAATACTTTTTCATTGTTCACCGGTTTATTTATAAACTAGTGGTGGATTTGTAGTTCTATTTATGTTTTTTTGGCTATTCTCCCAGTTTTTTAAATTTGTTTCATTAATAAAAAAACCCTTTGCTTTAGGTATTTTGTTTTAATAATCATACACATTTATCGTAGCCGTTGGAAGTTGGAGAGAGACTCCTTCTTTCAAATTTAGTGAGCAACAAAAAATTAATAAAAAAAACTTAAGTTCCATACATAATTTTCTCCTGTAAACGTTTGTTTCTCCTCTCAGTCTCCACGATCTCCGATCTTCACCTTCCATGATCTCAAAAGTCTTTCTCATCCTATTTAAAAAGAATTCTGAAATTTAGTTTTCACCTAAAAGCATTTATGCAAACGCAAAGGTAGTTGCTTCATCTTATCTTCCCAAATTCTCTTCATATAACTGTTTTTAACTCATCATCTTCCTCTCAACTTTTTGTTTTTGTTTAATCTATATGCTATGTTTAGAATTGATCCGATGTTCATTCAGGATCGATCGGCTTCGTCTCCTCATAAGAACTGTCTGCTCATCATCAACAGATCCGACGATTTAGTGAACCCAAAAACCTAGATTACTCAGAGATTGTCTCGAGAATCGTTGTCTTTTCTCTCTTTTCTTCTTCCTTTACAACACCACCGACACTGCTTCTCTCCTTTCTTTCCGGTCATAGTCAACTCAGTCGCTTCAA